ATCCTTTAAAAACGCAAGTGTTAGGGCGCCAGTCTATTATTCATATATTTATTTTTAGAAATTATCATTTAAACTATCAATTATTACCTTAGAGATTTGTGCAAATCGTTGGGTTCAAAGTGAGTGAGTGAGTGAGTGAGTGAGAGAGAGAGAGAGAGAGAGAGAGAGAGAGAGAGAGAGAGAGAGAGAGAGAGAGAGAGAGAGAGAGAGAGAGAGAGAGAGTGTGTGTGTGTGTTTTGTTGTTGTTGTTGTTGTTGTTCATGATGATGTTGCTTTTGGTTTACCCGACATGAGGCGTGTCCCAGCTTTATGGCGCCAGAATAATCCAGTCTGCTGAGTTAATTTTCAGTGATTGATTCTCAATAAAATATTAAACATCACACTCACTGGCCTGCTGATTTAATGCACCATGGGCTCGGTGACGTTCACAGTTTCAGTAATTTCCACTGTGTGAGTGAGTGAGTTTAGTTTTACGCCACATTCCAACCATATGTCGGCGGTCTGTAAATAATCGAGTCTGGACCAAACAATCCAGTGAGCAACAGCATGAGCATCGATCTACGCAATTGGGATACGATGGCATGTATCAATCACTTCAGTTAACAAATAATACGAACAGGATTTTCTAAAGGACGCCATGGAATGCAACTACAACAAATGAAATAAAATAAATGAAATCCTAAAATTGTTAATTCATCCAAATAATTTATTCACAAAACATACTACGCATGTACCTCGACTATGAATATCTTTACCTTCTTGCTTGAGTGAGTGAGTGAGTTGGGTTTTACGCCGCTTTTAGCAATATTCCAGCAACATCACGGCGGGGGACACCATAAATGGGCTTCACACATTGTGCCCATGTGGGGATTCGAACCCGGGTCGTCAGCGTGACAAGCCGACGCTTTAACCATTAGGCTACCCCACCGCCCCCTTCTTGCTTGAAATGACCATATTTGGGCGATGAGTATCAATATAAATCACAGGATTGGCGGGGTAAAACTCGATCCAATACAGGCAGCCTTTTTTTAATGATTTATTTGGCATCATTCTTCTAGCCCCCGCCCCCTGTTGTTATAAGCCACTAATTAACACCTCTAGCCCCTCGCTTGGCTGTTCTGTTAGCCGTACTCACTCCCCTGTAACTGGATTAACTGCTACTAAGCTCGTTAAGTTAGGTGTTGGTTGTGGGGAAGCATCCAGCCAAGTACAGCTTTTGCAACATAAGCGTGGACAGTCTGCTCCCTAACGTAGGAAGCAATATGTAGAAGAGACGACAAGAGTACATGTTATGTGAAAGAAATCTTGATTCATACCTGTGTGCCATTGGACATATGATGGACAATATGTATGTTGCGTAAAAACAACTGATCTGACAATGTGTCAAGATCTGAATTAATATATTTGTGAATGTAAATAAATATAGAATCTTCATATTTGTTTTGTAAGTTATTAGCAGTAAATCCGGCTACAGGGGGGGTGAGTACACCTAACAGAACAGCCAGGCGAGGGGCTAGAGGTACTAATTGGTAGCTTGTAACAACAGTGGGCTAGAGGGGTGGAGTAATTTATTTATAATCATATATTTTTTCTTTTTATACACGCAGCCTTCATACAACTTGAAGAGATTGCCGAGTTGAGCGTTGAACAGCAATCAAACGAATATGATTTGCAGGTGGATTTTAACCAAAAAATATAACTCAGGACGTCTTTAGTGGAAACAGCCGCCGAAAACTTGTTTAAGGTGAGATACATATCTCCATATAACCCGTATTAAATGCATCGCCTTCGAATAACCATCTTTGCATGTGTTATTCTAGCCACCACCAAACATGGATGTATACTTCCTTCAGCCCGGCAGTTTGTAAACTTACTTATGGGTATCTATAAAAAAGTTCGTATTCAAGTTGCGTAGATCAATGCTCATGCTGTTGATCACTGGATTGACTGGTCGAGACTCGATTTTTTTAGACCGGAAAATTGCTGAGTGCGGCGTAAAACTAAACTCATTCACTATAAAAAAGGCATAAAATGCTTCGCCATTACTTCGGCTACCATCAAACATGGATGTATACGTCCTTCATCCCGACAGTTCGTAAACTTGCTAATATCCTGTGGGTTTCACACTATGAAGAGCATTGTCCTGTTAGTGACTCAATTTCCCGTGGAACAGATGTAGGCCGTTTAGTTTCTTTTGTTTAGCAGCGACACGAATAGTTTTGGCGGTGACGCCCTGTGATCTGATCAAAGCCACCAACCAGGAAGTGTATCTCTGGTTCGGCGCATCACTTTCAATCCTTTGTGTTAACATATTGTATTCCACACACAAAAACAACCACAAAACATTTTAAAAATTTCATTTGACATGTTAAGAATGGGGTCTTCTCGTTTACCCAGCAGCTTAGGGGGATTAACAGTTATGCTTCCTTGATGGCGCAAATACTGTTCCTCCCTGTGAGATATGGTTAAGAATAGCGTTTGCTTTGCTGTCCATAAATACAATGGTTGGAAACTGACATTATGTTTTAAAGCCGACTGTGCATGCCTAGTTGATTCACTGTGTATTTTTGAAAACGAGTGAGTGAGTATTGTTTTACGCCGCTTTTAGCAATATTTCAGCAATATTACGGCGGGCGACACCAGAAATAGGCTTCACTCATTATGTCCATGTGGGGAATCGAACCCGGGTCTTCGGCGAGACGAGCCAACGCTTTCACCACTGGGCTACCCCACCGCCCTAAATTGTAAACGTATTCTCCCACATTACTTTTGTGTCCCTTACCAAGAATGCCATACAATATCATCGCCGACTGTTGGAAACACATTTGGCGCTTGGTTACTTATACGCCCAAGCTGACAGTGTTAAGCGAGTCTCTAACACACTCACTCACGCACGCACGCACGCACGCACACCTCATCCGTTATTACAGACACGACGTGACCTATGTTTGGTGGATCAGTCGCTCGCATGAAAATGCATTTTCTATATATTTGTCTTGCGGGGTAGCTTACTGTCTCGGACATCCGTCGGGGTGGAAATTTCGAATGTTATTATTTATAGTTTGGAAATATTTAAATTTTGAATATATGTCACTCGCACAGTAAGAATAATGTACGAATGTTTTGAGCATTTTGTAACACTGTTGGGTTTACGATGTTCGTTCATAGACAGCAACTTGAACCAAAACTTAATCACTTTTATTTGGGTGAGTACACACACGGGATGCCTTCCTAGTTCGCCGAGGATGGCTTTGTAAGATGCAAACTTCCCAATTTTTAGAAATCATTTGCAAAAACATCGTTTGAATCCTCTCTATTTCCTTTGAATAAGTATGTCCCCAAACTTCGGCTCCATAAAGTAATATAGGAGTTATTTGTTTGTCGAAAATCGCAGGAGCGGTTGTATAGGTGATTTCCTTATTCTTTCGTAAAAGTTTAAATACAGACAAACAGGCTTTATATGCTTGGTGAGCGAGGGTTTCGCACGCCTTTGTCCAAATCAGTCTCGACGAAATTATTACACCGAGGTATTTATACTATGTCACAACCTTTAGCGCTTGATTGCAGTAAACCCATCTCTCACTTAAGCTTGTTTTAATGATATTTAATTTGTTGAGATTCAGTTCCAGACCCAATTTAAGGCAAAACGATTCCCAAAAATTTGTCTTTGGAGACCCTTGACGCAGTTAGACAATATCATCTGCAAACATTAGTAGAAGTAGATCGTGGATGTCTTGAGTAACGAACACTCCAGTATTACACAACTTATGAAGCTCATCTGCAAACTCGTTAATGAAATGGAGGAAGAGTATAGGACTAAGGATGCACCCCTGTCTGACCCCCCGGGAAGTGTCAAACGTCTCTGTATGATGATTGTTTACTTTAACATACATATTTTTTAACAAAATGGTAAAAATAATATGGTGAACTTTCCATGGCATCCATGTTTAATCAATATGTAAAGCAACTGGCAAAACCAATTGGACTACAAAAGTTAGATCTATTTTATTCCAGTGCGCGTTCTCGAATGTGTGGATAAACCAAGGCGTTGGAGATGTGAGATTATTTATGTACATCTTCAGACAGAGAGTTATTATATCGCCTATCAAACATGGCACACAGAAATCAGTAATTCCAAGTACCTCCATCATTACTCACAACTCAAACAGACCGCCTCCGTGGTGTAGTGGTTAGAGCGTCCGCCCGGAGAGCGGTAGTTCGCGGGTTCGATCCCCGACCGCGTCATACCAAAAGACGTTTAAATATGGTACTTGTTGGTCCCTGCCTGGCGCTCGGCATTAATGGGTACAACAAGGACTGGTCGGCTCGGAGTCAGTATAATGTGTCTGAGTGGGGTATTCATGCTTCACTGCGGCAGCTTCAGTCTGGGCTAGTACAAGAAGCCGCACATACACATACACACGCATGCACGTCGTCATATGAGCGAAATATTCTCAAGTACGACGTTAAACCCAATTTCACCTCACCTCACCTCATGAATGATGCGTCCCTTGTATTAGGGGCGGTGGGGTAGTCTAGTGGTTAAAGCGTTGGCTCGTCACGCCGAAGACCCGGGTTCGAATCCCCACATGGGTACAATGAGTGAAGCCCATTTCTGGTGTCCCCCGCCGTAATATTGCTGGAATATTGCTAAAAGCGGCGTAAAACCAAACTCAGTCAGTCAGTCAGTAAACCCAATTTCACCTCACCTCACCTCACCTCACCACAACTCAAACACGACGGAAACCTAGAATCATACATAACTGAAATATCATTATTTGATCCAGGCATTCTGTAAATTTCGAATATCCCACAACAACTTCAAAGTCAACAAATATAGGAAAACAAGGAAACGCCCAAAACAGTATTTTACTGTCCACACTGTGGTGCTCGGGAAATTGAAAATGAAAACCATGTTTTTTTTCATGTCAGAAATATCAGCATAATAATAACTGCTTTGTTCCTTCACCATATCTTCAATCTTAGAGCAACCTTTGTACACCGATACTGACCACTGTTAATTTATTGAAATGAATTGTAAACTGTATTATAGGACACTAGGACCGCATTACAAATAAAACTGTCTGTCAATATTGTACGAAAGTAATTTTAGAACATAACCATTTCTTTATTTATTTCAAGTCCCATTTCAACATTTCTACAGTTATTTAACACTTTTGAAGTCATCACTCACAAACACACACATACACACACACACACATTCAATTGAACGTTGCGAAGTGTATAATGTCCACTAACTGTTCCCGATATTACTACACCCTATGTACACGAGCACTGTCATTTGAAATTGAAAATACGCTGAAGCCGCAGAAAGTTATTGTCATGGGTATAGAGCTCTGGAGATCAGGTAACTTGGAGATAGGCATGTCTTGTGATTGGGAGGTCAGTTCACTTTGATATAAGCATGTCCTTGGGTGAGTGAGTGAGTTTAGTTTTACGCTGCTTTTAGCAGTATTCCAGCAATGTCACGTCGGGGGACACTAGAAATGGAACATTGTGTCCATGTGAGGAATCGAACCCGGGTCTTCGGCGTGACGAGCGAACGCTTTAACCAGAAGGTTTCCCAACCGCCCCAGCATGTCTTGTGATTTGGAGATCAGGTAATTTCGAGATAATCAAGGCACAGTATGCAGCCGCGGTTTGGTGACCACGTTTGGAGTGAGTGAGTGAGTTATTACGTTGGTTTTGGAATAGAACCCGGGCTATTATCGTCTAGATATGAGAACAAGCAGGCTACCAAACCCATGTGGCGCTTAGTGAATCTTGAGAAATTTGATAAGCTCCATACGGATGCGGTTGTATTCCCTTACATCAGGGATAAGGGATCCTCAGTCAAGATACATCCCGGTTACATGTATCTGATTGTGATTAGTCAGTTGGTGACTGGTGATGTCAGATATCCTGTGAATAGTCGCCCTTAAGTAGTATTACCAATGTTATAATATATTACATAGCAGACAACATATCCTGGTACATCAGCGACGCCGCTTGCAGGCCTCGCGTCCACGGTTTTCACATTTTGGGTTCCGCCCGGTTTTGAAAGGAGAAGGGCGCCATTGGTTCTTGCAAATGAGTAACATGCGATGAATGCGCAGTTCCTGTTTGGAAGGTATGCCGCAAGGCTGTCTCACTTGCCTTCAAATACTTTGCAGGTCCTAATCATAACAGATTTGTATAAGTCCGCATATTCTCCAAAATCCTAGATCCGCCCCTGTTCTGTATGGAAAGTTTACCGGTAGGCTATCTCAGTTCCCTTCAAATACTTTGCAGGTCTAAATCATAACAGAATTCCGCATCTTTCAGTTCAGTTTCTTGGAACCAGCACCACTTGATAAGGTTCAAGTCTTCGCACGATCCTCAGCCGAGAACTGAACGGGGGAGGAGACCCAACGACGACCGGAGTAATTGTATAGTTCTGCATGATGGTGGTGAAAAACATGAACACTCCCACTCTAACCATTGTGTCTCCGACACAGAGCCGAGGCCCTGAAAAGAAAACAAGCAATTATACTTTTCAGGAGTGACATATTCTCCTCATGCATTGCAGGGAGGGCTTGGCATTAGGGAAAATAATATGGTCCAGGACCTGTGAGAAAGACTAAATGTTTCCCTTTATTTCCCGAGAGTTTCTTTGTCTCCTCGGGATCAGTTACAGTTAGAGTGAGTTGGTAAGTGAGTGAGTTTGGGTTTCACGCTGCTTTGGAAAGAATTGAAGTTACAACACGGTGTGTTGCTGGATGTTTGGAAAACATGTGCTCAGTTTTCAGAAGCTTACCACTGCGGGGACTGCTTACGTTATAGCAGAGAGAACTGAAATTTTAATTTACGATCATAGGCTCCTGTCACGGCTAAGGGACGTAATTTGGTACAACTGATTATGGCACACAGATGAAATGAAAACACGATTACGACCGACTTTACGACTTTCTCAGAAATATAGACTGTGTGTACACTCATACTTGTTAGACAAGACTCTGGAATGCTGCGTCCTCAGAGTTCAGTGGATGATGACATATACGTTCGTGACAACTCAGCCCACTCGTTCACAGAATTTTGAGAAAAATGATAAAATCAATAAATATTTATCATAATTTATATAAATCATAACGAATGCGGTATCAATTCCGTCAAGCTGAATGCCACGCGTATTTCTTTTGTTTTTGTTTCCTAGTTTAATGTAGGATATATATTTCTGTGGCTCTTATACGCCTTATAGACCTCAGTAGGGATCTAGAGAGGGTGAGTGGTCTTGAAACCTTGGGTAATGCAATAATATTGAAACTGATTAATTATACAACGTCAACGCAGGAGAAACGTCAGACTGTTTGCCGAAACAGATTAACGGAGATTAATAATAGCATTAAAAACGTTACTTAGATCTTTCATTCATTCATTGTGCAAATATAATCATTACAAAGTGTGAGTTTGGGTTTGCGCTAACTTTTAACAACATTCGCGACGGGGGGGACACCAGAAATTAGCTTCACACATTGTGCCCATGTGTTTTCATCGTGACGAGCGGACGCTTTGACTACTAGGACCCCACTGACGTTTTGAAAGAACTATGGAAGAACAAAAGACAAATAAACCTCTGACAACTTCAAAACTGTACACTTAACAGGAGAATGAGAATACTATAAAAATGTTTGGGATGCCTTTGATGTCTGACTGAGTGTTTAGATCCGTGTGAATGAATGACCTCAACCTATGGGCTGAATATTCATAGGCCTACGACTGAAAATGTTAGGGATTGATTTGAGTCTGCGTACACCAGTTCAAGGTCAAAGCATGAAGGACATATCTATCAGGGTGAGTGAGTGAGTTTGGTTTTACGCCGCTTTTAGCAGTATTCCAGCAATAACACGGCGGGGGACACCAGAAATGGGTTTCACATATTGTACACATGTAGGGAATCGAACCCGGGTCTTCGGCGTGACGTGCGGACGCTTTAACCACTAGGCTACCCCACCACCCCCATATATATTAGTCAAGACATTAATCCATGTATGTAAAAGTGGTTCTCACCAACGCCAAATGGCAGAAAGCTTTTGGGACGAGTGACAACACCATTGGCATCAATGTGTCTCTCGGGCTTAAAGACCTCTGGTTCTGGAAAATATTTTGGGTCCCGATGAAGACTATACAGACTCGCAACAACACTTGTGCCCTTGGGAATATGATAATCGCCAATCTGCGTATCTTCAACAGACACGTGGGGCAAACTGGACGTCGTTATGGATCCGATCCGAAGAGCCTCTATAATTGAAGCTTCTACGAGTGACAGGTTCTCCCTGTCTTCCAGAGTTACCGGTCTTTTCCCAATGACGTCGTGTATCTGTTCCTGGATCCGAGTCTGTAATTTCGGATCGTGGAGAAGGAATAAAACCAGATACTCGATCAAGGACATGAAACTCGTGACGCCACCGAAGAACATATCCAGCATGGACTGCACCATTTCTTTATCTGAAAGTAAAATATAAATATCTTCAATAAATTGTTAGGATCTGGATCGTCGTATTTGTCTTAAACAGAAGGCTTGATTGTGCCCATATTGTTTCCCTGAGACTGCTGATAACAATCCAATGACGAGTGATTTGTATACAGTGCCATCATTTTAGCAAGTCTCATTTTGAATGGTTTTCGTAGAGTTATCGTTGTTAAACTGTTTCAGAAGACGATAAAAAAGCTCATTGGCTCAGGTGAATGAGTTAGACTAACGCTTAGTCTCTGAATATATATAATTTTGATGGTAACAAACAAACCCATTTACAATTGAAAAGGAGCCCCCGGGAGACCAGAGGTTTTGAACCTTAGTCAAAACTAGACTTGCTTTATTGAAGGTTTTAGCACTGCAGACAGGGCTGGGCAGTAGGGGAAATAATGTGGTTCAGGGACTGTGAGACAGGGTAGTGAGTGAGTGAGTGGACGAGGAACTGGCGAAACATGAGTATGATGCTAGTGCACCATAACACACTGCCCGGTTATGGAATCACCGCTAGTGTTGGTCCTTCCGGAAGGTCGTCCATCATGTAAATGTGTGTAAAATACTTAAAACGAGCAATAACAGATGGACATCTCCGCGATGGACGCTGAAGCTAAATACATATATCGACTGTTGACAGGAAACTGTCGCCGCGGTGAAAATTGAAGCTAAATAAATAAAAGGTGTCATAAGAGATAACGGTTGCTAGGGTGCACATCGGCAGCTAAATAAATAAAACGAGCGCCGGATAAATGACTCCCGTTACTGTGGTAAACAGCAACAGAAATCTACTAAAGCGAGTGAGTGACTTTGGTTTTACGCCGATTTTAGCAATATTCCAGCAATATTACGGAGGGGAATACCAGAAATGGGCTTCACATGTGGGAAATGGAAACCGGGTCTTAGTGGCGAACGAACGCTTTAACCACTCGGCTACCCCACCGCCCATAACTATCTACAGCGTGACAGTGTTGTGTCCTTCTTTCCGTTGGCAGTATACACATGACCTAAATTGACGTACAAAACAAAGTATACACCTGGTGCTTTGGGATTATTCCCCTTCCCTAAAAAAACATAACAATAAAAGACAAACCAAAACAAAGAAAATATTTTGAAAAGCGTTTTCATTGTGACTTATTATTCACAAACACTGTGTGTACTTTCTTTTTAACGTCAGTTTACTTTCACCAGTAAAGGTCAACTCAGCTCGTGACACGTCCCAGTTTAGAATTTCATCACTCTAAAGCTTGAGAACTTTTCCGTTTGTAGAATTACCAGTCCAATACACAGAAAACGGTTATCAGCCGTATGGTCCCGTTCACATTAAAATCGTCCTTACAAAAAATGTCCGATCTCGTAAATCCTGGTTAGGTAGTAACATATTTGTCACGAACACGCACGTTTCAAACACCTAACGTTGCGGACCGTGGGGTTCCCGGACAAGCTGACAAGGTAAGGATGTCATCTGTCCCAACTATCACGACTGTCAACAGCTGTGACAGCCAAGCATGGTTGTACACTTGGTCAGGTCTAGTTCATATTTGGCGGTCGCGCAATTGGGAACCAGAACTGGTACTTCAATATTCGCTTGTCATCGGAAATCTGGTACCGGAAGTAAGCTGGACCTCGTCTCGCATGCCGCCATTTGGCGCCGGAAAAGGGAGCCGGGATCCAGCTTAGTACCGGGTGTAGCGCCTCGCAAGATTAACAAAATAACAAGATCATTCTTAAACAGGTTTGCCGTACAATGTATCAAAGCTGCGGCGGGGTAGCCTAGAGGCTAAAGCGTTCGCTCGTCACGCCGGGTTAGATTCCCCACATGGGTACAATGTGTGAAGCCAATTTATGGTGTCCCCTTCCGTGATATTTCTGGAATATTGCTAAAAGCGGCGAAAACCCCAACTCACTCACTCACTCAAAGGTGGGAATGTGAGTCAACCAAGGTATGTAGCCTCTCTATCATCAGACTTACCGTCGGCGTTTTCATCTTTGTATTCATCGCTCTGTGTGAACTTTGAAATGAAAGTGTTGTCTTTGTCCGTCCGCGGAGCTTCTGACATAATCCAGCCACGCACCACGCTCTGCATGTCGCTACTGATGCCGTGCAGGTTAGGGGAGTTGGGGCACAGTTTGGACGACGCACGAGGGAACGCAAGCCCGAGCAACGTGGCCATGGACGTCAAATCAACGTCATCAAGCCGGGTGAGAACCTTCAGTAAGTGTTGCATTTCGGGGTCATCATCCGGGTACCTCTGACCTCTTAAAACAGTCACAATGACATTGGAGATGTATGGTCTGACGATGTCACTTAAATACATTGGTCCTTCTTGGTTGAATTTGGGCAGGATGGCCTCCAGCTCACGTCGGAACATTGATTCAAACGCCTTCTGTGATCCCTCTTTCCATGTTATGCTGGTAGCCAGCTTTCGGTTGAGTTTCCAGTGGGAACCGCTTCCAAACAAAAGGCCTGAAATAAAGGACATTAATATATTAGTCCAAATCATCATTAAAACTCTTTTGCCAATGAATAAACTACGATTGACGTACATGTGTATTTGGTTTCATTTGCAGATTTGCTGAAAGCCCTGTGGCATCATTACATAATTACTGAGATGCACAGAAATTTTCAAGCGATATGACGCGATGTGGTCTGTAATATAATATGCAGTGATTGACACCGTGGACTTCGATCTAGGAAATTTGTGTCCGATGACGGCATCAACTATGCCAGCCAGCGTGACCAACCGGTTCCGTTTGCCGCCTCTAACGACAAGGGTGGTGGGGTACCCTAATGGTTAAAGCGTTCACTCGTCCCGCCGAAGACCCGGGTTCGATTCCCCACATGAGCACAATGTGTGAAGCCAATGTATGGTTCGATTCGAATCCTGAATTCGGCCTGATTATAATTCTCTGAATGTCATCACCATAGCAGTCATAGTGGTTCGTTCGTTCGTTCCTCCGTTCATTCGTTTTCTCGTTCGTACCAAAGTATGTCTGATAGTAAGTGTGTGACAATGTATCCTGTAATAATGCTAATAAACACAAATTTGAGCGCTATATTACCAACTGTTAACATCCCTCTCGAGTAAGATGCGTCTATGAACTAGAAGAAGCTGATGACTTATTTCAGTTGCTTTTTAAAGAGTCAATAGAGTTTGAAAATGAAATATATAACCAGCAAATTCAGTATTTACTACGGTCTGTCGACGTCATCCACGAGACCTATCACTTTAATCAAATCAGCGAACACAGGTTTGCCTCCAAAGTAATAACGAGGGCACATCTGGGTAAGACTTCCGCCCGTATCCCCCCTATTTTGTAACGATGAGGACAAAATTCTTTGAGTAGCATTTTTAGAAGTTAGATATGGCTTTCAGTATGTTCAGATATAATTCAAGAAACATTTTAAAACTCATCCTTATCAGATGGGGACTATATATTCTGGTGAAATGGGGACTATATATTCAAGTCTTTCCCAAATCTGTGATTCGAACCGAAGAACACACGCTCGTGGAAAGTCTAAAGGGACGCAACTCCACACCACGAATAGCGGGCTAAAAACTGACCAACTTTCAAGGTCCCTGCACTCAATCAGTCATGAAGTGGAATATTGCCTTTAACAAACTGTCTTCACACAAGCACAACAGATGCATCAATGGAAATGAGACAAGCTAATGTCATTGTCAGTGAAGTGACTGCTGTCGTAAGTCTTCCGCTTAGTCATGACCTTGAATTACTGCGTGGAACAAGGATGTTATCAGCGGAATAGGAACTTGTGATCATGACAGTTTCAATGTGAGTCATGCTTTGTTGATTGTGTTGTGTCCTCCTTCAGCCAAAGTACTGGCATTAACCCGTTTAAACTCATGTATACTCCCCAGTGAGTGAGTGAGTGAGTGGGTACGTGGGTTGCTGAGTGGGTGAGTAAGTGAGTACAAGCATTAACCCGTTTAAGCTCATGTATACTCTCAAGTGAGTGAGTGAGTGAGTGAGTGAGTACAAGCATTAACCCGTTTAAGCTCATGTATACTCTCCAGTGAGTGAGTGAATGAGTGGGTGAGTGAGTACAATCATTAACCCGTTTAAGCTCATGTATACTCTCAAGTGGGTGAGTGAGTACAATCATTAACCCGTTTAAGCTCATGTATACTCTCCAGTGAGTGAGTGAGTGGGTGAGTGAGTACAAGCATTAACCCGTTTAAGCTCATGTATACTCTCAAGTGAGTGAGTGAGTGGGTGAGTGAGTACAAGCATTAACCCGTTTAAGCTCATGTATACTCTCGAGTGAGTGAGTGAGTACAAGCATTAACCCATTTAAACTCATGTATACTCTCCAGTGAGTGAGTGAGTACAAGCATTAACCCGTTTAAGCTCATGTATACTCGCAAGTGAGTGAGAGGGTGGGTGAGTACAAGCATTAACCCGTTTAAGCTCATGTATACTCTCAAGTGAGTTAGTGAGTGAGTGGGTGAGTGAGTACAAGCATTAACCCGTTTAAGCTCATGTATACTCTCAAGTGAGTGAGTGAGTACAAGCATTAACCCGTTTAAACTCATGTATACTCTCAAGTGAGTGAGTGAGTGAGTACAAGCATTAACACGTTTAAACTCATGTATACTCTCAAGTGACTGACTGACTGACTGAGTTTGGTTTTACGCCGCTTTTAGCAATTTTCCAGCAACATCACGGCGGGGGACACCAGAAATGGGCTTCACATATTGTACCCATGTGGGATTCGATACTCTCAAGTGAGTGAGTGAGTGAGTGGGTGAGTGAGTACAAGCATTAACCCGTTTAAACTCATGTATACTCTCCAGAGAGTGAGTGAGTGAGTACAAGCATTAACCCGTTTAAGCTCATGTATACTCTCAAGTGAGTGAGTGGGTTAGTGAGTACAAACATTAACCCGTTTAAGCTCATGTATACTCTCACGTGAGTGAGTGAATGAGTGGGTGGGGTTGAGTGAATGAGTGAGTACTAACATTAACCCCTTTAAAACTTACGTATACTCTCCAGTGAGTGGGTGGGTGGGTAGGTGAGTGAGTATGGTTTGACGCCGCATTTTGGCAATGTTCCAGCAATATCACGACGGAGGACACCAAAAATGGGCTTCACACATTGCACACGTGGGAAATCGAACCCGGCGTGACGAGCGAACGCTTTAACCTCTGAGCTACCCAACAGCCATGTATACATACTGTCCAAAACAAGGGTGTGTTTGAAAATAACTGAAGAAGCACATTTTGGGATTATTCCATTTAGATAAGGGTGATGATCCTAACTACTTTGAGGGGTATTTAGAGTGAGTGAGTGAGTTTGGTTTTACGCCGCTTAGCAATATTCCAGCAATATCGTGGCGGGGACACCAGAAATGGGCTTCACACTTTTACCCATATGGGGAATCGAACCCGGCTATTCGGCGTGACGAGCAAACGCTTTAACCACTAGGCTACCCCACCGCCCCAGAGGTATTTAAAAGTTGGAGCAGTGAGGAAGGATAACAATATATGGATGAACAACTTCTTTATTACAGTGGGATCGACGTTTCGGTGAAGGCTCTAACATTGTTTATAAAAACAAGTGATGAGAGGAATAAAGACCGACAGCCATATATACAATTGTGGGGAAGTGTGCAGACAGTACAAATGGGAAGTTTGACTGCAGTTGCACAGAGAAGTCAGTAAAATACACAATATGGCCGATAGAAACGTCAACACATGAAGTCTGCAGTATAAACAAAGGTACCATATTTCAGGGGCGTAGCTACCGTTATAAAAAGAAAAAGCCCGGGCTTACACATGATTGTTGCTAAAAAGGCTGGGCAAGCCCTCAAGACTAGCTATATATAATGATTTGCAACCTGTCGGGCTTACACGAAAACAAATGGCTAGCTACGCGCCTGTATTTCCTCTAAGAAGCGATCCTCCCATTAGTGCCGGGGGTAAAGCAACTGTTCAAGAAATAAGCGCCAGGACTCTAATAAACGCCGGGTGTGCCACATGTTTACAAAGGAATTTTCAAATAAAATATACCAAAGGAGAATCTATATTTATTTCTATTGAAACTATAGCGCCAGCTCTCCAAAGCGCGCCGCTCCCTGTTAAGCGCAGTGTTTGAGAGTTTGCTGAATTAATAAGCGCAAAGGCACTTATTAGAGGAAATACAGTATTAAGACAGGTGGGAATGTATGTGAAGCCAGTAGTATAAACAAAGGGTTATGGCTGATGGGAAGCTTTAATGACTTAGACGTATGCAGGAGGTAAATGGAGGCGATGATCTTATCAATCCATACTTCGCTGTGGGTCTGATGGTACATTGAGCAATGGAGTGAACCGAAGCGGAATCATAGTATATCAAATTATGTTTGTTGGGGGTACGGAAAAAGGAATGGTCCAGGTGTTACGTGATAATCAACGGGAAGTCTCGGCAGTGAATTGTTCGAGTGAAAACAACCAGGAAATATGACAGTTTGGCGGACGAAGAGGGAGTGTGGCGTACACAAGCGTCCACTCCCGACCATGTTCTAGGTGTGCTAGAAACCTCTTTCATTCACCCCCCTTTCATATTTACTCTTAGTATGGTGGAACATTTCCGTAGCATGCGAAATTTCAGTAAGTGAGAGAGTATACTTTTACGCCGCCTTGAGCAATATCACGGATACATCTGAAATGCGCTTCATCCATGGTACCCATGTGGGGAATCGAACTCGGGTCGCAAGCGTCACGAGCAAACGCTTTAACCACTAGGTTACCCAAACCGCCCCACCAAATTTAAGAAATCAGGAAAACTTCAGCTTCAGCCGCCTTTGATTTTTCGGAAGCTGTTGTATGGAATGACAGCTTCACTTGGTAAACATATGGTAGACACATGGTAGACATGTGGTAGATGTACATGTGGAGGACATTGCGAGAATTTACCCGTCAGTAGCGAAAAGCAGGTCTGATGCAATTCCATATTTATATCGTACCGTTGGAAGTACCACAACACAGGGGTTGTTAGCATTGCTCCAAGGCTGTACTGTACCCTTAAAGAGGCAAGTCTAGATAAGGGGATATTAATAAAACATTTTTAGAAATTATCATTTACACTTTAATTATTACTTTAAAGTCTTAGGATCCCAGTGCTTCCCACCCTTGTTAGGGAATCGAACACGGACGTTTTGGCGTGACAGGCGACCAATTTAATTTCAAGGCCCACGTCTCATTCGAGGAATAAATACGTTTAAGCGTTTCGTCCTTGACATTACTTCTTGTAAAATGCTACTGAAATATAATGTCTTGGAAACATGTAAAGAAACAAGCGCCAACCATCTGTTGCTATTTGCCCACAGTATTTCATAACATGCCTTCGCACCAACATGACCTTTGGCGGATTAGATAAGCAGTGCTTTTGAATATCATTACATTAACCTTGAAATATGATCACATGCATGTAATTCTGTCTTCTTGAAAAGCCAAATGGTCTGTG